TCACTATAGACATAATGTTTAGACTCTAGCTTCAAATGTGGAGAGACTAATCACCGAGCAACCACCATATCTTACAGGCAAAGTTCAATCCCAAAATCATACATTCAGAGCACATCGAGGAGAACACCAAGCTGACCCCGTCTAAGGAGAAGTTGATTCAAAGGAGAGAACAAGTGGGATTAATCTGTATTCCTAAATTTTTCCCAACCAAGAAATACTCCAAGTGACACGAGTTTAGGCATACTGAATCAGATTGCACAAGCAGGAGAGTGATCACTTTCGCTAACCAGGAAGCAATTAAAGAATTAAACAGCGATTCGAGAGAAGATGAAGATTTCAAAGAGGATTCACAACTTTCAGCCCTCAGGAGAGAAATTTCAGCTGTAGTAACAATATTTGTTCTAGAAGTTATGACTTATGTTATGGGTGTTCATGTAGAGTTAAGATTGTGGAGTCGCGAGCTACTATTTTGCAGGTCTGGAGTGGAGCATCAGTATAACTAACCTTGGATGTCCAAAAAAGTCATGAGTGTGAAGAGCCGACATCAGACACAAATAACTCCAAATAAGAGAAATTTAGACATTTCAAATCTATAGAGTTATCTCTGAGTTGTCTCTACTTAGGAAGGTTCAACATGTCAAAACTGGGGCATTTTTGTGCCATGTCTGGAAGATTACATGTAGTTATTCAGATGTTAAATTCAGTACATCATGGGACTCATCATCAGATGTCCAAACAGAAGGAATGAACCCCAGTTCTAAAATTTGTCTTAGGAGCTTGATGGAGATGAAAATACTTCATAGGATCCAGTTCATAACAATGAAGAAGAGGTCTTACTTGTGCTTGCTAATGAGAGTGTTGCATTCTTGCACAAATTTCACTCTAGAGTTGATTTTTTCTCATAATGATTTATCAGTTACATTCCACTGAGTATGAGAAGAGGAAGAAGGTTTCCGATTTAAGGTCTCAAGAGTTGTATTGCGGGAACCCACATCTATATGCAACTCTAGCTCAGGATTTGTTAAAAGATGATGCATATTTATTCTATCAAGATGTGTTGTGAAATGAAAACACCTGCATGATCGACTGACTAGGGGACTACAATATCCTTGCCACTTTCAATGTGGCATACTTGACCTTATGTTGCGAGGAGCCATAAGCTTCGACGAATGAAATTGAAGCTCCATCAACCTATGAGACTAATGCGGGGGTTTATTTTCTGCAGTCCTCTTGCGGTAGAACGGTTGAACTGGCTGGGACAACCAGAGAGAACCAGCCGATTTAGCCAGGGTGAACAGGGTGTGCAAGCTAGGCACCAGTCCAAGGCTGCCTTGCCATCTTTTCTATTCAGTTTGCCGGCCAAAGTGAAGTGCCTCCCTTTACTAGTCTATCAACCATTATATATTTGTCATTTTCTTTTTTAGGCTTTAGTTTTTTTTTTGTCTTTATGATTTCAGACTTCTGCACAGCTTGTCGTCGACTATTGTTTTTCGGTCTAGGGTTATATCCAATGGCGAGAAGGTGCTCCGGCTATAAGTCTTCCATTGTGTTGGTCTTCTCCAAAGGTTAGAGTGGAGCTTTGGCTGTAACTCGACCGTGTGGGGATACTTATCTTTCCCAACTTCCCTCTATATTCGCCTTTGCTCTGGCTTCCAGCTGCCAACCTCCAAGGCCTCCTCCCCATCTTCCTGCTATGCCGATAACCACTCTACAACCCCTCTAGCTGGTTGCAAACCCTCCCCTTGCCCTCCAACTTAGTTGCAACCCCTTACATGCACCGAGAACAAGTGAACTCTCTTCCCCTCTAACTGCCCTCTTCACAAACCTTCATACAACCACCTTTAATCCCACGGTCTTGCTCCTTTCTTTCCCTTTTACTCACGGCTCTCTCTCAGTTGTGATTTATACAGCAACCCCAACCCCCTTGACTTGTTACAGTCCAACTGCAAACAACAACCCCCTATTGTTGCCCCTTGACCGCAATTCTACCTGCTCTCCTCCAGCTGTCTACCCATCATCCCAACCTTCTCACAGTTGTCCACTGGTCTGGCCTCACCCTAACTGAAGAGTCGTATTGTGTTGTATTTTTTTCCTGCTTTGAGTCTTATTTGTAACCATAAAGTACTGGCATAATAAATATGTTTTTCTATCGTGATTTGGGTTAACTTTGGTATCATTTGATATCAGAGTTAGCCCAACCTTATTCCTATTCTAGGTATTCCTAAGTTCATTGATCAGGGAGCAGTTGAATAAATAACGGTGATCCGGGAGATAATGAAGATGTCAAAGAGGATTCTCAACTTTCAACATTTAAGAGAGATTCCAACTGAGGCAACAGTAGTTGTTCTAGAAGGTAGTGACTTTGATTGAATAGGCGTTCATGTATAGTACAAGATTGTGGTGCCGAGAGCTACTATATTGTAGGTATTGAATGGAGCATCCGCAGGACTGACATTGTATGTTCAAAAGGGCTATGAGTTTGAGGAGCTGATATCAAACTCAAGATAACTCCAGATAAGAGAATATCAGACCTTTCATATCTATAGACTCATCCTTGAGTTGTCCCTATAGAGGGAGGTCCAACATGTAAAATGGGGCCCTTTTGTGTCATGTCTAGAAGTTTAAATACAGTTATTTAGATATTAGATTCAGTACATCATGAGACCCATTATCAGATGTCCAGATAGGAGGGATGAACCCCAGCTTTGAAATTTGTCTTAGGAGCTTGATGGAGAAGAAAATTTTTAAATGAGATCCAGATCCTAGCAATGAATAAGAAGTCTCTCCCGAGTGGTTGCTAATGAGAGTGGTGCAGTTTACCACAACTTTCACCATGGAGTTGATTTCTCCTCACATAGTGGTTTTTTAACTACATTCCGCCGAGTATGGGAAGGGGAAGAAGGTTTAAGACTTAAGTGCTCAAGATTTATATTGCGGGAACCTACATCTGTATGCAGGCCTAGCTCAGGATGTGCCAAAAGATGATGTTTATTTATTCTATCAAGACGTGTTGTGGAATGACTACACCTAAATGATTGACCTATCAGGGGACTACAATATCTTTGCTACCTTCAACGTGACAACTTGATTCCATGCTACGAGAAGTCAAAAGCTTCGATGAATGGAATCGAAGCTCCCCCAGCTCGGGCGACCGACCTGGGGGCTTACTTGCTGCAGACCCTCTTGTGGTAGAAGGGCTGAAGGGGCCAATACATCCACCATGAATCAGCTGGTTCAGCCAAGGCAAATAGGACCAACATGCCACCGATCGGTCTAGGGCTGCCTTGCCGCCTTTCTTATTCTATTTGCCACTAGCTCCCTTTAAGTCTCTATTTGCCGCCCAAAGAGGAAAATGGCCTCTCCTTCCTATTATATTATCCATTATATATTTATTGTTTGCTTGCTTAGGGTTTAGATTTTTTTTCCTCACTTTACAAAATTCTGTCCAGCTTGCCGTTTGTGGCTGTTTTGCATTCTATGGATGTATCCAAAGGAGAGAAGGTGCTCCGGTTATAACTCGTCTAAGGTGTTGATCTTCTCCAAAGGTTCGAATGGTGCTCTAGCTATAATTTGACTTTGCGGGGATACTTATCTTCCCCAACTTTCCTCTGCAGTCCCATCCGTCCTGGTTTCCAGCCGCCAACCTCCAGGACCTTCTCCCCACCTTCTTGCTGTACTGCTAACCACTCTCCAGCTCACCTGTTGGCCGCCAACCCTCCCTCTGCCCTCCAGCTGAGCCGTAAGCCCCTTACCTGCAACAAGCACAGCCGTCTATTCCCCTCTAACGGCTCCCCTTGCAAACCTTCATACAACCACCTTTAATCCCGCAACTCTTCTCCTTTCCTTCTTGCTCTAGGCTCCCTCTCAGCCATGATTCATACAACAGCTCCAAACCCCTTCACCTCCTACAGTCCAACCGCACCCTCTTGCTGCCTTCTGACCGCAACCCTACCTGCACTCCTCGAGCTATCTACCAACCATGCCAACCCTCTCACAATTGTCCACCGGTTGTTTCGTCTCGCCCTAGTAGGAGAGTCGTGTTGTGTTTTATTTTCTTTTAATGTTTTGAGTCTTAATTGTAACCCTACTGATTCGACGTTGTAAAATATGTTTTTCGATCTTGATTTTGGGCTAATTCCGGTATCAAAATCTCGGAGAGTTTTTTGTGGATCAAAATTCAAGCAAAAGCATAGGAGGGAGTTTGAAGCTGTCGGAGATGTGGATTTAGTTAAAGTTTTTTAAATCTGCATACCAATCCGTTAAGTTCCACAGGTAGTATAGAACTTTGAATGAATAAATATAGCTTTTCTATTTTTGATTGCGAGTTTTGTCAATTTTTTCAAATGGCTTGAACCACGGCATTTGCCAACATAGCCAGTCAACTTAATTGTGTATGCCATAACCAATGAAACTTGAGGGCATCAATCTACATTGTCTGGATTTTGGCACAACATAAGCAGTTGAGCAAATTTGATAGATTACAGTCTCAATCAAGAGTGTTATGACTTGATGTTAGATTTTAGAAGCTGCAAAGTGGAATTATCAAGAGATTTAGGGCCAGCTACAAGTGCTATGATTTTGTCTCAATAATGATTTTTACTTCGTATGGTCCTCGCATGTTAACCAAACGACCTTAAAAAAAACAACTTAAGCTAGCATATCAAACTAATTATAACCTTTAAGCCCCGTATTCCTTAATTAGTTTCAAGAGTCACAAAAAAAAAAAAAATCCCAATGGTTATTTTCGCGTTCGTTTAGTCCTTTAAGTTAACTAAAAATAAACAAATAAAAAACCACTAAAGCCACAATATTGAATTAATTAAAAACTTGAAGCCTGTATTCCTTAATTGTTGACCATGAGCATTGTTGTCTTTTCAACCTGAGTGAATTCTGTTTAAAGCTCTTGAATATTCTGATGGCCGTCTTACTAAAGCTATTTAGTTCAAATGAGTAGAAGTGTTGGGTTTAATTTTTTCTCATTTTAATTCACTTTTCTATAGGCGCGCAATGGGGTTGCATCGAGCCGTAGCGCTTTGTATTGATCATTGTGCTGCTTCAGAAAAAGTGATTGATGATAGCTGGTACAAGACTGTGGTTTTAACTGGTGGAACTGCATGCTTACCGGGTTTGCCAGGTATGGTGATGAAACTTGCCTGCAAATTGCCCAGGCAGTGTAATGAGTGTTATTGTTGAAATTATTGTTATTTGATGCTATTTTTTTTTCAGAGAGATTAGAAAATGAACTCCACAAAATTATTGAACCTTCAATTTCTGATGGAATAAAAGTCCTCCCACCTCCATATGGAGCGGATTCCGCTTGGTTCGGAGCAAAACTTATTAGCAATGTAAGCTAAATTACGGGTCATGTTTTACGCAAGTATCTATTTTATTGCTTGTCGATCGTAAACACGTTTCTAAACTGTTTCTTTTTTCTTCTTCCTTTTTGTGTGGAATTGTTGAAATCATTATATTTGAGGATATTTTCAAAGAACTTTGTGCAGTCGGTGTTGATATCTGGATTTCTAATGGCAGTAAACTATATCACGAACTTAGCAATTATATTTACATACCTAACACACAATTCTTATGTAATTATATATCCCATACCTAAACTTCATATCTACGCACATAGCACTTTGGTATTTTAAACTTATGCATGAAATAAAAAGTTGTATTTCACTTCTAAAATCTGGCAATCATGTCATTTTCGACATGATATTGAAGATTTGAGTGATATATATGTAAATATGAAAGTATGATACATGATATGTAAATACATAAGCATTATTAGTATTATTAACAAGCAATGCTGGTTGCTTCTGTTCTGTAATGTACATCGCTGGTTTATTCTTGTTGATTTCTGTACAGGTAAGCACATTTCAGCAGGCATGGTGTGTCAACAAGAAACAGTTCCGCCAGAAGAGCCGACGCAGTGCATCATCATCAGTCATTGCCTGGTAATTACACATATATGATGCTTCAATTGCTTTGAAGAATGAATTATAGATGGAACTTTATTTATACCGCAAGTATTACAGCATACTGTGCAGTGTTTTCATGTAAAAATTTTTTACAGAAATTAAATTTCTTTTATTGGTTTGGTTACCTACTCTGAAGAAGAAAAAGAAAGTGGGGTCAGGAATAAACTATGTAAATAAACGTATCTGTTACATGTTACTGTAAAACAAAGCAATAAATGTTGCAGTTTTCTTGAAGAAGTGCTGTTTCTGATTATTCTTCGAGCTGTTCATGCACCTTGATAAAGCTTGAATCAGTTTCGTGAAATAAAATACATGTATTATGTTTAGATATGAAGCCATGAAGTATTGTCTTATTTTTAAGTGTGCATTTTCATGACTGGTTTGAGGCTTGAAATTAACAAAGACGGATACAAACAGTTGAACGGTAAAAATTATATTAAAATTTAGCGAATGATAGTCACTACTAATGAGAAGCGATTAAATCAAAGCAATTATAAATTTATCTTTGATCGGGTTGTTTGTATCTTTTAAAAACATTGCCTTTTTTATTAATCTTCTTTTAATTAACAAATTAAACATGAAATGTTAGTTTAAAGCAATAATTACTTAACCAAAATCAATGAATACTCGCATTTTTAGATTAATAATATAATTAAGAATAAAATAGTATGCATGCCAAATAAGTTTTTAATGAAATAGTATAAAATGTTTGATAGTTTATGAATATGATCAATCATGATATTTTATAATATTTAAAGTGTTTTACTATATTGATATGATGATTATATCATTTTATATCTACATAATGGTCATAGAAGTATCATTTAAAAATTATATCAGTTTAGGTATTTTAATGTAAATATTATTTTTTATTTACGTGTATGAATATCTTAGTGTTCCCAAATTAGTGGCATGAAAAAGTGATATCGTCATGGTCAATGATATATGTACAACCAATCTGTGCAACTGAATATTATTCACAATTTTATATCACTCAATACATATTATTTATTATTAAAATGTATAAAGTGTTTTTTAATATGAGATTACATGTATTCATATTGAAATGATCCATAATATTTATGAATAGGGGAAATTAATTTGATTAATTGAGCATGGATAACAATTCATATAATTGGTTTAGAAAATAAAAATAAAAATGATGCTATAATTTAGGAGGCTTACTCGCATTGCTTACAGATAATTATTGTCTGTTTGTTACAGATAATTATTGTTTGCTCTTAAGTTCTTAAATTTCCTCTACAATAGAATACATATCATCAATTATAAAATATTATTATTGTAAATTAACTAAAATATTTATGGTTATTTATAATTAAATAATTAAAATTCTTAATTTATAATATTTTATGAACACACACACACATAGATAATATATATATATA